TGGAAATCTGTCTTACCCTACAGGAAAATAGAGGGGGAAGGGGACAAGAGAGTAGGGGAATGATAGAGAGGAGGGCAGATTGGGAAAGGGGGTAATCAGAAGCAAATACTGCTGAGGAGGGACAGGGTCAAAAGAAAGAATAGAATAAATGGGTGGGCAGGATAGGATTAAGGGAAATAGAGTTAGTTTTTCACCGCATGTCTACTATGGAAGTGTTTTGCATAACTGCACATGTATAGCCTATATTGAGTTGCTTGCCTTATCAATGAGGGTGGGTGGAGAGGGAGGAAGGGAGAAAATTTGGAACCCAAAGTTTTAAAAACATATGTTTAAAAAAAAATGTTTTCACATGCAACTGGGAAATAAGAAATACAGGATATGGGGTACAGAAATCTATCCTGCCCTATAGGAAAATAGAAGGGGAAGGGGGGGAGAGATAGCAGGGAAAGCAGACTAGGGGAAGGGGTATTTAGAATGCATGCCATCTTGGGGTGGGGGGAGGGGTGAGATGGGGTGAAAATTTGGAACTCAAAATTTTGTGGAAGTAAATGTTGAAAACTAAAAATAAAAAACAAATGTTCAAAAAAAAAAAAAGAAAGAAATAGGTGAGGGACAGCTAGGTGGCGCAGTGGATACAGCTCCAGCCTTGGAGTCTGGAGGACTTGAGTTCAAATGTGGCTTCAGACACTTGACACTTACTAGCTATGTGACCCTGGGGCAAGTCACTTAACCCTAATTGCCTCACACACAAAAAAAAGAAATAAGTGTCCTTAAAAAAGAAATTCAAAGCAGCAGTATATTAAATAGTGACATAATCATCTCACCAATAATTTATTTTGCCATTATTAATTCTAGTAATAATTAATATAATTAATAATACCATTAACAATGTTAATCCTTAATAATATTAATTAAGTTGTTACTAATCATTAATATGGAGTGACATAATTATTTATTTTGTTGGTTCATACTGAGTAAAGTTAATTAAGCACTCACAAAAGATGCTCACCATTAGATAAAGGGAAATGGTAAGTTACACATAAAATGTTTTTAGATAACTAGCATTTAAATAGTGCTTTTAAGGTTTGCAAAACACTTTACAAATACTATCTCATTTGATCCTTACAACTACCCCAGGATGGCAGGTGGAGGGGAACAGTTATTATTATCTCCATTTTGCAGATGAGGAAATTGAAGCAGACAGCTTGAACAACTTATCCGGTGTCATACGGCTAGATTTGAATTCAGGTCTTCTGACTCCAAGTCCAGTGTTCTATCCACTGTGCCTCCTACCCACCTGAAAATGGGCTAAATTTGAAGTGAGCTAATTTTACTTTTATTTTTACTTTTTTACTTCTGAATATTTACTTTCATTATCTATGTAGATGTACACATTAAAATATAAATATATACATATGCACACATACATATATAGGTGTATGTGTTTTATTTGTATGTATCCTCCCATGGAGGAACTCCTATCAAAATAGATTAAATTATGTAATTATATGGATGTCAAATACATGTAATAATATACATTTTCTTCACACAGAGTCTAGGACAAAATTGGACAGTAATTGTCCTCTAACAGACTCTATCACTTGAAGCCTCCGGCATTTTTCATGTTTGCACTTGAGTTCAGAAAGCCTTGCTTCATTCATAATAGAGCATTCCCAACTCCATACTAAGTGGACACGAGCCGGCTGATGGGCCATATCATGCCAGATGACTGGCTGAAGGGCTTTGATGACAGCCTTCACCTAAGATGGGTGAAGGAAAGGGGGCATTGGTATGTAAGTGTATGGGGGGAGTCATAAAAACCCCAAATTCCTCATATTGTCTTAAAAATGAGGCTCCAGTAACTTGGGGTCAAGGCTCCTTCTCAACACTTCCTTTACTCCGAGGAAGGCTGGCCTTGCTACCAGTGTACCCTTTCCCCTCCCCTTCCTTCCCACTCCAGGTCTTCCCAGGATGAGTGGTGAAGACACTGCAGAACCCCCAAACCCTCCCTTATTTCTTCAGCACCACCCCTTCCCTTCTAGCCTCAAGAGACCCTTCCCTATCCCAAAGGCTACTTTGTAGGACAGAAAACTGGAAATGGATCCGGTAGAAAAACGATTTAGATTTGAATTCTGCATCTGAAACTTACTAGCTACATAAACCTGGGCAACTCATTTAACCTGAGCCTTATTATCCTCATCTGCAAAAAGAAGATAATGATCCTCATACTACCATCGTCCATAGGGTTGGTGTGAGGAAACAACTGGGAAATGGCTGATTATATGAGTTATGAATTATGATTATGATATATGGATGTGACAAAATATTACATAATGAATAATTTTTGGAGATATTTCTGTGGTTTCTTCATTAACATTTTATTTAACATTTTTGTCTTGTTGTTTATTGGCAAAAAACTAATCTGGGGTTCTCTTTCTCTGCTTTATCTCTTTTTATTTATAAAGGAAGTTTGAAGGAAAAAAGAACAACTATTATTATGTGGTACGGTGAAACAAAGAGTACTAGATTTGAGATCCAAGTACCTAATTAGGAATCCCATCTTATCCATTTACCAGCTGTGTGAAATAGGGAATTTTCCCGGGCCTCAATTACTTCATCTTTAAAACGACAAGGTTAGAATGAATAAGCATTCAAGTCCCTCTCATATGATCGAATATATTAAAAAAAAAAAAACAAAAAACAAACAAACCTTAAGGGGCTGAGAATCCTCTTCATCTGAATCTTTGAACTCAATGCAAATTGCAATATTCCTGGCCTACAAGAGAACAACAACAACAAACACAGGGACTCAGATGCCATATTTGTTAAGAAGAAAGATTACCAGGAAGCCCAAATCTGAAAAGCGACTTTGGAATCCAGAGTGAGAATTCAGTAATAGTATCTTTTCACTCACCTTTGCAAAAGACTTTTGACTGTCATATTTCAAAGACTTGGGATAAACATAAAGGTGATTATTGTAGATGGTGAAAGGCTGAGTGTGTTTTGGTATGCAGGGAACAAATTCCTCTATTTCAAACGTGACTAGGGTTTTGGTACTGTGTTCAAACTGTTTCATGGGAATGTATGATGAATTAACATAATCTGAAAATATATTAGAAACAAACAAGATTGAAGTGAAAACCAAACTGACCCAAAAAGCGTCCAGTTATGACACAGAATGTATACTTACTAGGAAAGTCTGAAGAAACATTATCGATTGTAATGTCTAGGTTGCCTAAAATAACAGGTAATTTGGCCATCTTCTCAGGCCTACAGAAGAGAATAAGAGAAAATGCAAAATTTAAAAGGTGAATTCTAAAGCTGACCCTGAAAAGAATAGGTGAACACATATGGAAAAGTATCAATTTAGAATCAAAACTACTCATCTACTTTTCCAATGACTGTGAGAAAAGAATTACAAGTCTATTAACATCTGACTTAACTGGCACTATCAGAGAACGACAAGTGAATTCCCCAGAGGTGCCGTAGCCCATAAAACACTGATATTTTTATTTTCACCACTTTATACGCAGCTTCCTAAAATATGTGACATACTTCCCTTATTCATAAACCAAATTAATCAACAAGAATTTAGTGAATGGCTATTCTGCACCAGGAAGTGTGCTAACCAATTGAATACAAAGACAAAGATGAAATAATCCCTACCCTGAAAGAAATTATGTTCTGAGAGGAAAAACATAAACACAAACAAATAGGAACAACATGTGTATGTATATATATATATACACACACACAAACATATATGTGTGTGTGTATGTATGTATATATAAAGGAAATCATATATTTTATGTTATATATTTTTATATAACATATATAGTATTACATAGTATACATGTTATATTATATATAACATTTATATGTTATAACATACTTTATACATATTTATATATTTCATAGAAAATATATATAGTAACACATAAAGGAATATGTAAAGGAAACACAGGTATTTCCTATATATAATAAATATAAGTATAGGAAATACAAGATAATACCAGGTAAATTCAAAGAGAAGGTAGTAGCAGCTAGAGCAAACAGGAAAGGCCTTGTGTAAAGAGGTGATGCTTGATTTAAGTTTTTGAAGGAAACTAGTCATTCTAACAAGGCAGTGAGGTGAGGTTGTTTTCAAGGTATGAGGCGGGTGGGGCTTGGGAGGCAAAGCTACAGAGATGGAAGGGAGAGCATTGTTTGCGAGGAACAAATATGTTGTTTAAAAAGTCCGACGACCAGATGGTATCTTCTTAACCAGTTGAGCTGGAGCAAAGAGTTCAAGAAGGGGAGTAACGGGTAATCTACTTGGAAGCCAGGAGGCAGCCAGGTATGAAGGGCTTTAAATGTCAAACAAGAGAGTTTCTGTCTGAGACACTGAAGAGCTTCTGGAGAGTGACCTGTGCTTTGGGGACGACTTGGACAACCGGGAGAAGGAAGGAGCAGAAAGGGGAGAGACATTAGGAAGCTCAGGCAAAGGTCCAGAGGAGAAGTGATGAGGTTCTAGATGAGGGGGTGCCCATGGTAGTAGAATCTCTTCTGTTTCCTCTCTCCAACGTGAGCATGTCCTGTTTTACATTACTTAGAAATCTAAGTCAATAGACTTAAGGGTGACCAAAAACTCCTCCTTCTGTGTAGGCCTTGTGACAGGTATTTTGGTATTTTCCTTTACGTCCAGGGGCCTTTTCAGCTTTACTTCTGCATTTCTGGCTCTGTTTTAGATAGCTGCCATTGCTAGAAATGAGTAATCGCTGTAAGTGCTTTAGAACTATATAGTACTGAGTTATACAATGTAAGTTATTCATGTTGGTACGGGACCTTGTGTAAATACGGACAGTGAGGGAGGGGACATGGAGAAGGAGGGAGAGAGTGAGAGACAGAGAGAGAAATAATATTTCTACGAAACCTTAAAAAAATTAGCTTTCAGTTTGTATACAAAACATATTCGAAAATGTTCAAATTTGGGGCATATTTCCCAATTTTATGGACTAGCTTTTCAAACATGTTTTGTTAGACATAAGTTACGCAAAAGAAGCACTGGTGTTTTGAACTCCTCGATATTTCAAAAGCAACATAAAAACAGCATAAAGTAGGCTGTTATCATCAAAGGAGATAAATTTCCCCAGTACTGGGCCCCATCTTCTATCTCAATAGTAGGTATTCCTACCTTTCTGATGCCAACAACCGGGCACTCAAAAATCCTAACTAATCCTACAAAGTAAAATTACACGTTAACATTGCATTGTCTGAACACACTTGCAATAAACTACCTGTCTGGGGCATAAGATACCTAATTACAAGTAAAAAACAAAACAAAACTGTTTTTGCAGCCCTGGTCCTGAGGTCACACAGATGCAACTCCTTTCTAAGGAAAAATAGTATTTTCTACACTCCCACTAACCACACATCCTGGCTGACCCAATACAGAAGTGGAAAAGCAACTCTGAAACCATCCAAAGCACGTTCTATATTTTTGTTCATTTGTTTTTTCAGCCTCTTTCTCCTCTTCTATTTCCTGTGTAGTCCCACAGCTCAGAAAAGTAGCAAACTGGCCACTTTGGCCAGTTTTTTGTTTTTTTTTTTTTTTAAAGCAAATTGCACAGCTGTCCTAAAAGGAAATACACTCTTTAGAAGCTATTGTTTAAAAAAGAGGGAAAATAGAAGATACCAATTTAAACCACCTCAGGTAATTGGAGCTTCTTTTGTCTTAACTGATCACTGAATATATGTATCAGAGAGTTTCATCATGGATTTGACGTTCACAAATGCATGCAAATACAGATAGCATTTTACATGTGAACACAGAGGTGTTCTTAGTCCTACAAGTCAATGACATGGAATTAAGGTAAGTTAATATTTCACGAAAAAATTCTTATTATGGAGACTGCAGCTTAGGAGCTATCTGGTTTTCTATAGGATTAAGACAGGATGGGAGCAGTGGGTAAGGATTTGATGATAACATCACAAACCCATAAAGGAAAATTACACGGGTTTGGATCTAGCTATGTAAATGTCAATAGTACTCTTCAGTGGAGATGAAATTACTACTGCCGTGTAATGCCTACAGGAGTCTTTGCCCAGTCTCCCTAGATGCCTTTCCCCCTAAGATTATCTTCCAACTACTGTTTATTTATTTATTTATTCATTCATTTATACAATGGAGTTAAGTGACTTGCCCAGGGTCACACAACTAGTAAATATCTGAGCCTGGATTTGAACTCAGGTCCTTCTCATTTCAGGACAAGTGCTCTATCCACTGTGCCACCTAACTGCCCTTTGCCTCACCTTTTTAAGGCAAAACTATTTATATAAATGATGTCTCCATAGTTAGAATATAAACTCTTTGAGTAGGGAACACATTCTTTTCTTTCTTTGTATCCCTAATGTTTATTGATTGATTGATTCATACCTATCCAACTCTCTTATAGGACTGCTGTGAGAAAAGCACTTTGTAAGTCTTAAAGAAGCAGCAAATTTATGTCTGTACTATTTTTAGCCTATTTTAAAATGCTCTCTAAGAGGTCTTCCCATATCCAATTGCTTTATCCATTTTAAAGACCACTGCCAGAATAATTTTCTTTATGCACAAATATGGTCATGTTATTCTTCTGCTCAAATATTCTTTATTGCCCACTGAGTGAGGCTTAGGCTCTCTTGACTGGTATTCAAGGCCCCCCAGAATCTGACACCACCTACCTATGCAAGAGAAAGGGAGGGAGAACGAGAACGAGAGAGAATGAAAGGGAGGATAGGATAGAAGAAAAATTTCATATAGTATTACACCTTACACTTCCTCTCTGGGTAGGAATGGTACATAAACATGGATGTATTAAGATGGAAATTAGGGTCAAAATTGTAAAGGAATGTGGAGACAAGAAGCAATCCTTTTCTCCTGCTGTTATGCCAATGTCTCTTGTGATACCCATGTTCAACTATTAACAATTGCTTTTGGGGGGCGGAGCCAAGATGGCAGAGGGAAAGCAGTAACTGTCTTGAGCTCTCTCCCAAACCCCTCCAAATACCTATAAAAATGGCTCTAAACAAATTCTAAAGCAGCAGAACCCACAAAAAGACAAAGTGAAACAAATTTCCAGCCCAAGAAAGCCTGGACGGCCTATCAGAAAGGTATATTGTGCCAGGCGGGGAGAGGAACACAGTGTGGTGTGGGTGCACAGGCCGCAACAAACATGGAGCAGGCCTCAGAGAACTGAATCACAGGCAGCTGTGGCGGTTTCCAGACTTCTTAACCCAGGAACGCCAAAAACAACTTGGAAAGTCAGTGGGAAAAGTCTGTGACTGCGGTGAGAGAAGGAGCTACGTCTCAGGTGCAAGTCTCCAGCACGGCCCGGGGCTGCGGCTTTTTCCGAGCTTCTGGCCCACAGACTGAGGGCGAATCGAGTGGCTGATCAGAGGGGGATTGTAGGGATCTCTTTGCCAGAACTCAGGCAGGAATCTCTTGCTTTACCAGTGCTTGGATCTGGGTCACAGTTCTGAGGGTTGGTCCTGGGGCAAAGAGGAGTGCTGGCATGGTGGAGCTTGTTGTGGCGGTGGAGAGGAAATACCTCACCCCTCATCACACCACCTTGGAAGAACTGACACTTTTCAGGTCCCTAGAGGTACCTCTGAAAACAGATGTACAAACCCCTGAAGCTTGGGACAGTACATTCTCCACATTGGAAACAGACTCCTACCTTAACAAAGAGTTTAAAACTCAAGTAATTGGTTGGGGTCATAAGCAAGCAGCGCAAAAAGAGTCAGACTATATTATCTTACTTTGGTGACAAAGATCAAAACATACAACCAGAAAAAGACAACAAAGCTAAAGCTCCTACATCCAAACCCTTCAAGAAAAATATGAATCAGTCCCAGGCCTCGGAAGAGCTCAAAAGGGATTTTGAGAAGCAAGTAAGAAAAGTAGAGGAAAAACTGAGAGTGATGCAAGAAAATCATGAAAAACAAGTCAACAGCTTGCTAAAGGAGACCCCCAAAAATACTGAAGAAAGTAACACCTTAAAAAAATAGCCTAACCCAAATGGCAAAAGAGGTCCAAAAAGCCAATGAGGAGAAGAATGCCCTAAAAAGAAAAATTGGCCAAATGGAAAAAGAAGTCCAAAAGCTTACTGAAGAAAATACTTCCTTAAAAATTAGAATACAGCAATTGGAAGCTAGTGACTTTATGAGAAATCAAGACACTGTAAAACAAATCCAAAAGAATGAAAAATTAGAAAACAATGTGAAATATCTCACTGGAAAAACAACGGACCTGGAAAATAGATCCAGGAGAGAGAATTTAAAAATTATTGGACTATCTGAAAGCCAAGATCAAAAAAAGAGCCTAGACATCATCTTTCAAGAAATTATCAAGGAAAACTGTCCTGATATTTTAGAACCAGAGGGCAAAACAGAAATTGAAAGAATCCACCAATCTCTTCCTGAAAGAGATCCCCAAAGGAAAACTCCTAGGAATATTGTAGCCAAATTCCAGTGTTCCCAGGTCAAGGAGAAAATATTACAAGCAGCCAGAAAGAAACACTTCAAGGATTGTGGAAACACAATCAGGATAACACAAGATTTAGCAGCTTCTACAT